TTCTGTATAAAACTGTGTGTTTTGACAACGAAGTGGAGATCTTTTTTAAACATTGGAACCTCATTTAATTTTATGTCTTATAGAGTTTATAATGAGTTAAAGATTATATAAGTGTAATAATTCATCTGTAAACCTAAAAATGTACAGCCAGTTTTGAAAGAGATGTACCCTAGCTCAGAAAAATGTTATTGAATAGGTTAATGCTGTTGTAATGAAACGCTTCTTCTAATTAAAAAAAATATTTTATTGAAAAAAAAATATTAAAAAATAAACATGTATATATTATAAATGTTTATATAAAGAAATATATTAAAATACTACATTTTATAAGATAAACATGTATATTAGAAAATCATAACTATGAAAATTGGTTAATATAGCAGGCATTCTAAATTTAAATATAAACAATTTAGTTCCCAATAATTTCTTATGGCAACTGCGCAAGGTGTACATTTTATGGCTTAGAGGATACAGAGTATGAAGTAGACATTTTAAGATATGTTTGCTTTGACTGGGGGAACAGCTCTGTATTAGTGCACTTACCTAACATGAATGGGGGCTGGGGTTTGATCTTCAGCATAGTAAAAAAGAGAGAGGGACAGACAAACAGAAAGAGACTGAAATGACAAGGACAGTGGTAGAAAGAGGGAAGATGTGTTGTATAAATTGAATTAAAATCAATCACTATAATAATCAGATCTGCCTTATTTTTCATAATAAATAAAACATGTATCTCTACAAATTAGAGTTTAAAAAAAGAGCAGCTAGGGGCTATAATTCCTAGTTGTTATGTGAATAGGCAGGAAGATGATTTCTTAAAAGGTTTTATCATTTCTGTTATAAAGAATTTTATTATTTCTTTTCTATTTGAGGTACTTTAACTTGTATTAACACAGGAGTGTAAGATACAAATGTTCTTCTGATAATATATTTATTTCTTTTTGAGTCCTGAGGATAGTTTTACTGATTAAGAATTCATGGTAATTCTTTTATTTTGGTACTTACAAAAATGTACCATTCCCTCTGGCCTGCATGATTTAAAAGGAGATCCATTCTCATTTATATTGATGTTCTCAGGGGCCATTTGTCACTCTTCTGCTTTCAAACTCTTCTCTCTGTTTTTAATTTTTAATTGTATGAATTCTTATTTATTTATTTATTTGTTTATTTTTCCTTATTTCATGTGTATGCATAAAATATGTGATGAGGGCATTCAAGGCACAGTACAGATCTGGAGGTCAGAGGACAGCACTTTGGGGTCGATTATCTTTTGGGAATCAAAATGGGGCCCCAGGCTTGCACCACAAGTACCTTTATTTATAGAAACATTTTTCCAGCCCTATTTTCATTTATTTTATTTTTAATGTTTTATTTGCATATAAATTGCCGTGGATTTCAGATTTTCCTTATTTTAGATTTCTCAGTTTCTTGACTTTGCACATTTTTACCAATTTGGGAAAATGTTTAGTGATTGTGTGTGTGTGGTTTTTTTTTTTTTTTTTTTTTTTTTTTTTTTTTTTTTAGCCCCAGCTGTTCTGGAACTCACTCAACCTTATTCTCTTCTTTGCTCCTTCTGTGAGGATAGTGATGCTGGTGTTATGCATCTCAGAATTGTCTCATGGCTGCCTCATACTACCATGTTTTCATTGCTGTCATTTTCCATCTTGTTATATTAGCTGCTGAGATTGGATAAATTCCAGTGCTCAAATTTTAAATTTGCTGATTATCCTCTATAATCTCAGTTATTAAGACAACCCAAAGAGGGTAAATATTACTTATTGAAAAATTCTTTTTGACAGGTTTGATTTTCTTTAAATTCTTTTAAAAAGCATTTTTAATTAACTTCTTAGGTTAGCATACATAATGACCAGCTTTATCATGGCAGTGGTGACTTAAAAAACACAGTTCTCAGTCACGCATGATGGTGAGTGCCTTTAATCTCAGCACTCAGAAGGTGGAGGGAATGGCTGGGGGCACTGACAACACAGTGGACAGTAATAGGGATGACAGAGTATATGGGGGGTGTGTGGGGTGCCATTTGGGATGCAGATATAAAAATGAATAAGATTGTTTGGGCTGTTCTTTATGAAATACATACACACAAAAAAAATTTTGAAAAAATAAAGGCAGAGGCAGTTCTGTCTCTATGAGATCTTGGCCAGCCTTATCTACAACGTGAGTCTCAAGCCAGCTGGGCTACACAGGTCTCATTTCAAAAGAAATCAGAGATGATTTGTTGAGTTTGTTTATTCCATAAACTTTACATAATAGTCATAGGATAAGAATGCGAATGCAAGCTCACAGAGAGATGGGCAGTAAACACAGTTCAAGATCGTTTGGCTCTGAACCTGTAACTTTCCAGCACTCCCAAATCAATGAAAGCTAATCAGTCATGCAGTCTTATAGAATCAGCCCTGTTGAAGATGGGTGGTTTTTTTTTTTTTTTTTGTTTTGTTTTGTTTTGTTTTGTTTTGTTTTTGTAGTAACTTTAGTTCCAGACCTCTGCATACACATCATTATATTTTGTTCTCATTAATGTCCGACAACTCTGATATTTTGTTCTATGTCCCCACCTCCAGCTGGTTCTGTTATTTCTCTACTCCTCCCCCTTCTGCTGTTTTATTACACATATTCCGTTATTCTATTTCCATTTTCCTTAAGACCTTTTTCTCCTCCATTGCTTTGTCATGATTTTCTTTTACATTTGTCACCCACAAACACACTTACATAAATGCACACAGACACATATATAATTTTAAATTAGGTTCTACATTTGTAAGAAAACATATTTGTCTTTCTGAATGTGGCTGATTTTGTTTAATATAATGATCTACGGTTGATTTCATATTCCTGCAAATATCATGATTTTTTTTATTTTAAGTCTACATAAAATTCCACTGTATATATGTGCTGCATTTTCATATCCACTCATCTGTTGATCAAAGTCTAGGCTATTTTCATTTCCTGGGAATTTTAATTTTTAAAAAATTTTGTGTATTTGAATATATTAATGCATGTATTAAAGTGTACCCATGTCCTACAACGCTCTTGGAGGTCAGAAGAGGACATCTGATCCCCTGGAACTGGGTTACAGATGGCTATTAGCTGCCCTGTGGGAGCTGGGAGCAGAGCCCAGGCCCTCTGCAAGAGCAACTAGTGCTCTTAACCACTTTATTTTTCTTGCTGAATTTCTCTGTTCTTTTGTTTCACAAAAAATGATAATCAGTTATTAAAGTGGCTTTACAGATATGATAGCTGCTTGGAAATCTTTGTCAGAAAAATCTCTATACCTGATTAATCTCACTGTTGGTTTCTTGATTATTTTTCTCATAAAAATTATGACTTTCTGGGTATTTGGTAAGACTAGTGTCTTAGTTACTTATCTTGTTATTGTTACAAAATACCTGACAAGAGCAACTTAATAACACAAGGGTTTATTTGGACTCCTAGTTCCTGAGGTTATATTCTATCAGATCACAGAAAGAAAAGCAGAGAGAGTAACAGGCGGCTAACCATGTTGCATTCACAGTCAGGAAGCCCAGAGCAGTGAATGCCAGGGTTCAGCTTACTTTTTTTTTTTCAGCCCAGGACCATTGCCCACGGGCTAGTGTCACTAATAATTGAGGTGGAACCTCTCAGCTAAACTAATTTAATCTACTTCCTCACAGTCATGTCCAGATATTGTCTCCTAGGTAATTCTAGAACCTGCCAAGTTGATTATCAGTAACCACTACAGCAAAAAAGAAAGAAAGGAAGAAAGAAAGAAAGAAAGAAAGAAAGAAAGAAAGAAAGAAAGAAAGAAAGAAAGAAAGAAAGAAAGAAAGAAAGGAGGGATATTTTTACCAAAGTGTCAAGGCTAGTTGCTATTTAGAATAGATTTTCTTTTTCTAGAAGGTTTCAATTATGTTTATGATTATCACACAGATTTCGGCTTGTGTTTATATGTTGTACATGCTTCTCAGAAGAATTCTATTTTTGTGACTGTGGTGGAATCCAGTAGGATTGGCTTGTCTTATACCACATGAGCTCACACTGATTTGTACCTTACCTTAGATTTGCCACCTAAAAACAGCAAAATAAATTGCTTAGTTCATAGGAAGAAGCACTTGCCAGGCTGGGGATCTTACTGGGGTGGCCCCACCCTACCTCTCCTCCAACATTTTGTCAATGTTCCCTTGCCTCTGGATGGTGAATAACAGTCTTGGGCCACATAGAGAGAGTAATTGCTTTCTGGGTCTGGTTGTCAGTGAGAATACACTTAGTTATCTCTTGCTTGATTCTAGATTTCATTGCTATATTTAATGAAGCACATAAAAACCTTTTGTCCGCCCTTTTCTCCCCATACACACAAATGAGTCAAGGGAGTAAAATTCTGTGAGAGTCAAAGAGTTTCTAGGAAAATAAGTGGCTGTGGTAGAGAACTGATTGTTTTAACATAAGAATATAATAGCACAGTACTCCATCTAATCAGAACAAATGTAAGCAACATGTTCGTCACAGGTACTTTACAGCTAAATGTCAGTTCAGGTTTAAATTATGTTCAGTAAGTAGCTCTATGACTGCGGGTTTTTAATATGGTGATGTTATTTGTTGATGTACTGGAAGAACTCTAGCAATCCCAGTTCCCCAAGTGTATCAGTCCTTAGAAGTGAACCCATCATTTTCATAATTGCTCTTCACACTGGCATTCATAAAAAAATAACTTTGTGAAAGAAAGCCATTTTCAGCATCATCAACCTCTGCCTCATGCAAAGTACTACACTAGATCTCATCATGCCATTAAAAAGTTTTTTTGTGAGCTCATTAAGAAGAGCCTAATTGTGCTTTAACTTTTAAAATATAATAAATATTTCAACATATTTAAACCATTGTTTTAGGAAATAAAAATTCAATACATGATCAAATAAAATGTTAATTTTATTATGATCAAAATCCATCATTTAAAAATAGTTACTGTTTGTAATGTTGTTATTCACATTTTCAAAATTTTCTTTTTCCAGCTTTAAGGGACAATAGGATTGAGCTGGTTCGCGCTTCCTGGCATGAGCTGAGCATCAGTGTCAGTGATGTGTCTCTCTCTGATGAAGGACAGTACACCTGCTCCTTATTTACAATGCCTGTCAAAACTTCCAAGGCCTATCTCACTGTGCTGGGTAAGTGCAAGAAACTAGCGTCATGTAATCACAACCATAGAGAAATGCACACTGCCACAACAGCATGGTTCAATAGAAAAATATATGTTAAAGATCAGATCACTAGACAATTTAATTTGTTGCTGTCATTTAGCTGACTTCATTTTATAAATGGTCATAGGGAGATGCAAAAGTTTACATGAATGCCAGAAAGCATAAGGCAGCAAGTGGTTTTTGATTTCTAATTAATTTTATATCAAAATCGTCTGTATACTGTGTGGTCCTGAACCTTGTACAAAGTAATAGAATAATGAAGGCGATGAGTCTAACTTGTGTTCAAAGTGTCCCGGTTCATTACACCAAGTAAGTCACCTGACAGGAACTTTCCGTAATAACCTGTGGCTTTCAAAAATGCCCTCTTTTTGTACTTTGGTGAATTTAAATAGCCTTGATATTTCCATGTGTCTCCATTTTTTAAATTTGTATTTCCTATATTCCTGACTGAAGAACATAATGTCGCTTGTGCATGCAGCTTGTAGCTTCCTTATGCTTTTATTCTCTAAGTATCAGGCCATTTTCCCAAAGGTTAAAGTGACATGAAAAAGCAATATATTCATAGAGATTCACAGAAAATAAAGCTGCAGCTCAGAGCTCATCGACTCCACAGATGTCCATGTGCCAATCAGCTGAAACGGCTGCAATTCATTGAAACACACCTGTGCACTGAACAAGTTTGAGAAATTTAAAGATTTTTTTTCTTTTTGCCCCTTGTTTGTTTTCCTTTTAGATAAAGGAAAATGTTGCATTTAAAATGACCAGTGCATACCATTTTTGGAGGTAGGAATATTAAAGTTAATCCACCTAGTGAATTGGTTTTGTGCATGGGATATGAAATATGTTTCCCTGCCAGTTGCACTGGAATGATTTGATAAAAAGTTTCACAAGTTTGCATTAAGGACAAGATATACCCACTAAAGTGGAGTGTTCCAAGATAACAGTTGCCTGAGGTTCATGTATTGTTCTGTAGAGAGCCAACACAGGACTCAAAGAATAAATGACTATAGAGTCCAGTTTATTAAATGGTGGTATGTCATAGATTTTTTTAAAAATAGAAAAGATGGATTCATTTCTCTTTTATTCCTGTTATTCTTGTTTTGCTTTGTATTGCTTATTGGAGTTTCCCGATATTCTTACATTTTAATCTTCCCCAAAACTAAATTAATAGTTCAACAATGAAGGGTTCATTATGCGTTTATTATCAAATCATGTTACATGATATTTTAATAAACCTCTATCAAAAATCTGAATAATACAGCATAGGAAATGTGTGATATTCAAGTTGGGGAGATGACTCATTGCATTAAATACTTGCTACAGAAGCCTGACAACCTGAGTTTGGATCCCTAGAACCCATGTGAAAGCCTATAATTCCAGCATGCTCATAGCTAGATGGGAGATGGAGACAGGAAAATCCTTTCCAAGTATAAGGGCCACCTAGCCTAGTATGCACATCACAGTGGCAAAATCAGGAGAGACCCTGACTCCAACAAGGTGTAAGGTGAGGTTGCCCAATGAACTCTACAAGAAATTGAAAACAACTGTTTGTTCTCTATGCCACAGTTTTAGAAGGGAGGCATGAAGTGTATAAAACAATTCTTTGGGCTGCAGAGATTGCTCAGTGGTTAGGCAAGCCATAGCATCCATGTGCCCTTCTACCCCACAAATATGTTTATGCACACACAAACACAAAAATAAATATGTAATTTTGAAGGTATGATATTCTATTTTTGAAATATCCACATGTATTTTAGTGTGTCTATCTATCTATCTATCTATCTATCTATCTATCTATCTATCATCTATCTACCTATCATCTATCTATCATCTATCTATCATCTGTCTATATGTCCCCATGTACCTGAAGTGTTCTGTGTATCTTAACTTTTGCAAATATTTAGGACATCCCTGCTAACTAATGCTTTCCTTATTTGATTACATTTCAGGTGTTCCTGAGAAGCCTCAGATTAGTGGATTTTCTTCTCCAGTTATGGAGGGAGACCTGATGCAGCTGACTTGCAAAACATCGGGCAGTAAACCTGCTGCTGATATAAGATGGTTCAAAAATGACAAAGAAATTAAAGGTAAAGTATGAGGAAAGTCACCAAGTCAAAATAAATATATAAAAACTAGAACATGTTTTAAAAAGAGCTATTCCCATATTTTTAGACTACATTAATGCTTACTGATTAAATATAATTTGATCATATTTAACTATTTCCTAAATTATATAATTTCATTAAGTATATTAATATCTGTGGGGTTGACAAGATGGCTCAGTAGGTAAAGGCACGTGACAACATATTAGACCTGATATTATATATCCTTTAATATCCAAGTATTACAATTGTTAATGATGATTGTTCCAATAAGTTTTCTAAGACATGATAATAGTATAATTCTTGGCATAATGTTCTATGACATGTTTATGTCAACCATTACAATTATTTTAATTTTCAATACTAATACCTTCTATTCAGCTATGTAATACTTAGTGCTGAACAGACAGAGTTGCATAGAGTTGAGATTATGATCTTTTTAAAAATACTTTATTATTTATATTCTTTGTGTATGAGTGTATTGCTTGCATGTATGTAAGTCAGAGCACCTGTGTCATGCAGTGCCCTTGGAGGTCACCTGGAACTGGTGTTGCAGATGGTTGTTAGTCACCATGTGGGTGCTGGGGTTTGAACCTGGATCTTCTGCAAGAGAAGCCATTGCTCTTAAACACCAAGCCAGCTCTCCAGACCCTTGAGATTATAATCTAAAGAATTATTCTTATCCATTTTCTATCTCTATATCATTTTGCCCAAAAAAGTTCCTTAACAATAATATAATTTTCATCATTATATTTGTCTAACTAGTAAATACATCTCATTCAACGTTTTGAGAAACTAAAGACACATGTTAGAAATTAGACACCTTATCAATGCTAAATTAAATACTTAATTTCTGTGTAACCTGAGTCTTGTTTTCTGGCAGGCTCAGTAATGTCCAACTTTGTTCTGTCTTCAGGGTGTGTCTAGTACATATTTCTGATCCTAGTCAGAACTTTCCTAAGGGGATCCTCCATTCTTCCTCCTTAGTTATCTATGACAAGAATTTGTTTTAGTCAGTTTTCTGTTAAGCACTTCTAACAGAAAGCCCCAAATTGTAGAATAAGATTAAAATCCACTTTCTAGAGCTTACAGAAATTCTTTAGGCAGCAAATTCTTAAACACCATGTGCCTTTTTCGGTGAACGACTTGGTTTTCAGTAGCTGGCTCTTCTTTAATGTGTGACTTCAATTAATTGTTTCAAAGATTTATATTTGTTGGGGGGGCAGTTTATGTGTGTGTATGCTACCTGTGTGCAGGTGCCTTCAGAGCCCAGAGGAGGGCATTGGATCCCCTGGAGAGGAGTTTGAGAGGGTTGTAAACCATACTATGTGGGTGCTGGGAACTGAACTCAAGTCTTCTGGGGGAACAGGAAGTGTTCCTAACCACTAAGCCATCTCTCTAGGCCAATGAATTGTTTTATAAATTGCATGCATCCCTTCCCTAAATCTAGCATTTTGAGCAATTAGCTAGTTCCTATTTCTTAGCATTTTATTACTATCCCAAAGGCTTTTTTTGCCTATATCCCCAAGGTAGTTAAAGAATACAACACATTAATACTTCATTAACGTTGACTGATTATACTTAACAGTATAACCTCAGGAAAAACCAGCGATTCACTGAATTTTTATGCAAGAACTTAATTTTAACAATCCCAGATTTTGCTTTGAAAACTCAACAAAGCTGAACATATGTGGAAGGAGGTGGTGTTGTTATGTTTATAGGTGAAAATATGTAAAGTTTGATCTTATAAGCACTGAACTTTAATGACATCTGGATCAGTTTCTGAAAAAACATAGAGACAAAAACATATGCAGAATCAGCATATGGTTTTCTTCGATACTCAAAGTTGTGAAGCCTCAATTTCTTATGTCCTCCAGTGTGTCACCATTTATAGAGCATTTATTGTCACTATATTTATTCATCTATGTATCTTTTTCTTTGCTTATAACTCAGCCAGATGGTGATTTTCTTTACTGGTCTAAACTTTACTTCAATAGGCGTATAAATAAATAAGAAAAGTGTAGTAGTCTCCACAGAGTAGGCTTCCATTCTGGTTGTTGTCCTCTAAATTTGTTAAGTGCTGTTTTAAGGAACAGTTACTTTATAGTTTTCACTCCACACTGCAAGGAGTGTTTCATCCTCATCACACTACCTTGGCTTTCCAGAGATAAAAAAAAATATCACTTCTATTGCTGCCTGCCTGAATTTACTACAGTTCCATTTGCAACACTGAACAGACATAATCCCTAGTATAAAACAGAAGGTGAGGCCACTCAAAACACATCCAAATCAATTAAATCAAAAAATTTTAAATGCTTCTCAATTACATAGTGTATCTGGCTGCATAAGTGAAGGGACAAAATGAAGAAACCAAGAACTTTGATCTGGAGATGTTTATGCTGTCTTTATGTATATTGAATTAATTATTGCAAGAATAATTTCTTGTGAATAGGAATATATATAAAATTATTTTTTTACCACCGTAGATACTATGTATTTTATTTTCGTGTTGCTGGGTGACATTTGTTAGAAAGCACTACTTAATTATATTTATCATGAGGAGCAGACATTCAATGTTCACACATTTTAATAGGCAACATCATTGCAAATATTGATGGTGAATTTCAACATCATTTTGAATTTCAGATTCAGTGCTCTTGCCCTAGGTGGTCTGGTTGAGCAGATGCGCAGAACCCAAGATATGAATTTCTAGCACAGTGTCCAGTATTTGAAAGATACTGGACCTTCTCTTTAAAAGACTGCATTAGTATAGAGAGCATCATGAAAATCAATAATCTGTGTTGAAATCCTTCATCTCTGAGCTGTAGTCTTCTCATCTGCTGTTACGATAATAATGCCTGTTTGTAACTGCTATTACAAGAAATGAATTTGGTTCAATATATAGAAATAGTTGCCAAGTATAAATATCACTAAATGCATTTCAAACATTTCTATCTTTTTAGAAAATTATTTCTATATCCAGTAAATCATGACTGATGGGATATATGAATCTCTAAATTAAAACATGAATACAAACAGAATGAAAGTGTTCCTTTGGAATACACCAAGAGGGAAATGGGCATATGGACATGTGATCTCCCAGGTGCAAATATGTGCGGCTGTTGTCTTTGTCCAAAGAGGTGGTGTTCTAGTATATTTTTCCATTGCTGTGACAAAACACTGCGATCAATACAACCTTGTGGGGGGAAATGCTTTATTAGGCTTACATCTCCTGGGTCACAATTCATCAGAGAGCCCAAGGTAGGAACTAAGGGCAGGAACCTGGAGGCAGGAGCTGAAGCACAGACCATAAAGGAACACCTACCTGCATACTGGCTTGCTCCCCTTGCCCATGCTCAACCTGCCTTCTTATATAATACAGGACCACCTGCCCAGGGGTGGCACCACCTACAATGGGCTGAACCCTCCCACATCACTCAATCAAGAAAATGCCCCACAGACATGGCCATAGGACAGAATGAAGGCAATTCCCCAATTGAGGCTCCCTCTACCCAGGTGTGTCAAGTTGATAACTGAAGCTATCCAGCATGGGTAGAAATTGGCTCTGCTTAATGGGAAAGCCAAAACAGCAAACTGTTCATTGATAAGCAGGCACTTAGAAAAGCATCTGTTTATTGAACAAAATAATGTGTTCATTATTTGGGCTGGAGATAATGCTAAGTTATAAGACATTCTACAGAAAGGGATTTCATTTATCTTGGCAGTTATTGAATGTGGTTAGAATACTGGTGAAATACTTATATGTGATGTGGTCATAAGAAGTGAACAAGAAAGCAGGATTCAGATATGCTCTGGAAACCCTGTTATTCCAGATTTAGGCATTTGGGATTTATCTTTGAACAATGATATGATTTTTTTTTTTTGTATAAGCTTTAAACAGTGGAATGAAATGCTCACAATTCCATCTAATCCTGATTCCCTGCCACCTCCATGAATTGACTCAGACATCCCTTTGCTGCCTCTGGGCAGTGCTGCTTCCCAAACCACACGTGTTTTACTTCAGCCTTTAATCTTCTGGGTAGCAGAGAAGTCTGAGTCTCTGCCATTTAGTGTGGAAAAAGATGTGCACTACGTTCTTAAATCATTTGGCTCCCTGAGAGCTGGCAGCTGCATTAAAGTTTTCATTCTAGTTATATGTTTGGTAATTTGCAGTTTGAGCATTTCTTATTACAAAATGTTGAGATTTTTTTTTTCTGGATAACTAGCTTTTACCTTACTGCATTAACAAATATTTTGTGATAACCTCCAATAAGCCTGCATTCTTATATAAACCCTCCCCTTTAAGTGTAAGAGGGGATCTTTAATGTGAAGTGAGGCGATTTGCCTTGATTACATTACCTTATATGGATATGGAAAGAGATGTCGCAGATATAACCACGGATGGATCCCTTTTGTATTTGACGAAGATGGAGTATCAAAAGTGGGTCTGAATAAGTTGAGGTCTTTAAAAGAGAAAAGATTCAGCGTGTCAATCTCCACATGGTACAAAAGAAAATAAGCAGTTATTTTATACTGTTCATAGAAGCCATATGACAGAGAATTGTAAGTGACCTCTAGGAGCAGAAAGTAGTCCCTTTGCAACAGCTAGTGAACACACAGACTCAGAATAATGAACTGCCAACAACTATCGAACTTAAAGAGATCTATAAAGCTAACATGGGGACTGTAACCCCAAGAAAGACCTTGATTAGTGACCGAAGGACCAGGCTAGGCAACACCTGGATTCCTAGCCAACAGAAAACATGCCATAACAAGAGTGTTTGTTTTGATCCACTAAGCTGGAGGGAATTTATTGTACTGCAATATGGAAAACAGATCTCCAAAGGCAGAATGAGTTTGTGTTGTCACTCATCTGACAGACAGTGTGTATTCTGGGAAATTTGGGGATTTAGGAATTTGGGGGCCATGTGAATGATAGATGAGTAAGAAAAATTTCAAGCATGAATGAATAAAACCCTGAAGAG